ACCAGCAGTTAGCGTAATGGCTATGTCGCTGGACTCCCACGTAGTCGACCGCGGTTCGTGTCCCGGACCCGGTGGCTTAAAACTCACGCCGGGCGCATGTGCATGCGTGCCCAAGATCCCGAGAGGAGAATGGAGGAGAAGGGATTGCGGTGTGACCATCCCCCCTGGGGGGTGATTTCTCGCTTTCTGTCTCTATGTCTCTCTCTGTCTGTCTGGCGAGCGCACGCGCCCTACAGTGAAAATCTCTCCAAAAAAAAATCAGTGAGCTGTATGTTCATGGACTTACTCAGTTTCTGTCTTTTATCCCACTGGTCTATGAGCCCATTTTTTGTGCCAGTGATTAAGCTTTGTAATATAATTTGTAGTGTGGTAGTGTGATGTCTCCAATTTTGCTCTTTTTGCACATGATTGCTTTGGGGGTCTTTTAAGATTTCATAAAATTTTCTAATTTTTGTTTTCTATTTCTGTGAAGAACACCATTGTTATTTTGGTAGGGATTGCACTAAATCCAGAGACCACCTTTAAATACCACTCATTACTTAAATTACATATCAAAGAAGGAGGCTTTCTCATATGCCATGTGTTCATTCACATTGTGCTAGCCTTTAGCAGCAACTTGTGATGCTTCAAGAAGATAAATATTCCATCTAGTCCTCCTCTGTCTGGATGAAGTGGTGCTACATGTACAAATATAAAATGTGCAATTAATTATAGCAACAATACCTACCAAATGTCTTCAGTATCTCATTTCAAGAGCTGAAGGTGTTTCAATTTATTATATAATTTATTATCATCATCCAGCTACATTTTTTAAATTATTTTATTCACTTATTTATTATTATTTTTTCACATTTCTTTTGCCAGAGAAAGAGAGAGAGAGAGAGAGAGAGCATGCTGCCAGGTTCAGGACTCGAACCATGGTCGGCCATGTGGGAATTCCAGCACCTTAACCACAATGCCACCTGCTGCCCCCCTCCCCCAGCTATTTCTTTAAACAGGAGAAAAACAACAATATACTGAACTATTTCCCAAAGATGGCACAGATGGTAATGCCAACACTTCCTATTCTAGCCATTTAAACACTTTTTTACAGTGAATTAGGTATTAGAAGGACAGCAAAGGTGATCAAAACTGATTTCCACATCTGGTCGGAGGAGCACATTAATAACTACCTAATGAGTTATTGAAAAATACTAAGGAAAAGAAAATCCAATGTACTCTGGGGTCAGAAGAAGAAGTTAATTATTCTGATAAAGCTGCCTGGGAAAGATAGTTTTGAGCTAGATCTTGGTAGATAGTTTTCAATAGAGACTTGATGCCCAAGGAACAGCACGATCAAAGGTACTAGATGAGAGTCTTGGGACTTTATGTAGAAAATCATGATTCAGTCTACATTGCTGAAGGGTATTTTCAGTTACTATGTTAACTGTGCCTTCGGATTCATAATAAAGGATTCATAATAAAGGGTTTAGGGCTTGTTCCTTTGGAAGGAGGAGCTATTACAGAATTTCGATTAGTTTAGTTGGCTGTTCTGTTTCCTGTTCTGTATATATTTTGAGACAGTGAAACAGGAATGTCTGAGGTGACTTTTTTTTAGGTGCAATATATAAGGGCTAATTTACAACATTTAATAGAAAGGAAAAATTGATTTCTGGACAAGCAACAAGATGTCCATACTTAGAAACTGGGTTTTCAAATACTTCCTTTCTTCAGGCTTCTTAGAAATTCGTATGTGCCTTATATATATATTTCTTTTATCTATGTAGCTCCATATGTTTAGCTGAAGTTCTTCTTTTGTTTTATGAATATATATTTATACAAATTTGTCAAAATTGCTTCTTTAACTATACTTGACTTTTTCAAGCTATAGCCATGTATGCAAAGAAGTTTCAGGTAGTAGAAATGCTTTATCTACATGATTTTGACCACAAATTAATGATGATCCAATTAAATTTTAAAATAGACAGAGAGGGGCAGGTGGTGGCTCATTGATAACATAATGCTCTGAGATGTGGATTCATATGTTAAGGTTCCAGGTTTGTGTCCCCAGGCCTTCCTGGACATGCCAGGCACATGCATATGTTGTGCCTCTCATTAGGATTCTTTGAGGTTCTTCACGTCTTGATGTGAAAACCCCATTGGAAATGCTAGTCTCTCTCTCTTGTAAAAGAAGGAAATTAACTCTAAGAAATAAGTAAGATTAAAATAGGCACAGAGTAACACAAAGGACTTGTGTTCTATTTACTAATACTCATTCTAAAGCCTTTTCTTTTTAAATCACTCAAGTTAGCCATTCTGAAATGCATTTGTGGAACTGGCATCATGATAAAACTAAAAATTAATATTCTAGAGCCAGCAGTTGGCATAGTAGGTAAGGTACTGGACTCCTACATGATTGACAGCAGTTTGAGTCCTGGACACAGTGACTTGAAACTCATGCTGGATGTGTGTGTGTGTGTGTGTGCCCAAAATCACAAAAGGAGAATGGAGGAGAATGGATTGCAGCATGGTCATCCCTCCTGGGAAGTAAATTCTCACTTTCCCTTTCTTCACCTCTGTCTGTCCCTCCCTCTCCAGTGAGTGTACACCCTCTATGGCAAAAATCTGAAATAATAATTATAATAATATTCATAGCAGAAATTGTGAACAATTGAGAGATGAGGTCACAAGTTTACATCAAGATTTCAGTTTGGCAGATTATGCTTGCGAACCTCAGTGACTGCTATGTTTCAGAAAACCATAAATAGCAAACTTTGGCAAGGTATACTCTGAGAAGCACATTAATGTTTCATGTCCTGATTCTTTACTTTGCTCTGGGCCAGTTTATTGCCTACTTAACAGTAGGCATCATTCTGTCCTTCAAAGTACAAACTTTAAGTTCTCTCTGTCCCAGTGTTTTTAAGTAGAAATAACCTCAGTAGATTAAGACAACGGTCTACTCATAGAGAAATTTAAATTAAATATAACTTTATCATCTTATGCAGAAAAATTAAAAAC